TCAAAATACATATGTGGTACCCAATTTTACCTTTTGGAAGTAATTTAAATTTTTTGAAAAAATTTAAATCGTTTAAATCTCACTTCATTTAACATTTGAGAGATTTCAAAACACATTGTATGATGTTCTCCATCTATCACAATACAAATATAGTACTTAATTTTACATTTAGAAGCAATTTAAATTTTTTGAAAAATTTAAATCGTTTAAATCTCACTCTATTTGACCTCTGAGAGGTTTCAAAACACATTGTATGATGTTTTCTATCTGTCACAATACATATACAGTACTTGATTTTACATTTGGAAGCAATTTTAATTATTTGAAATATTTAAATCGTTTAAATCTCACTCTCTTTGACACTTGAGAGGTTTCAAAACACATTGTATGATATTCTCTATCTGTCACAATACATATATAGTACTTGATTTTACATTTGGAAGCAATTTAAATTTCTTGAAAAATTTAAATCGTTTAAATCTAACTCTATTTGACCTCTGAGAGGTTTCAAAACACATTGAATGATGTTCTCTATCTGTTACCATACAAATAAAGTACTTGATTTTATATTTGGAAGCAATTTAAATTTTTTGAAAAATTTAAATTGTTTATATCTCACTCTATTTGACCTCTAAGAGGTTTCAAAACACATTGTATAATGTTATTTATCTGTCACAATACATATATAGTACTTGATTTTACATTTGGAAGCAATTTAAATTTTTTGAAAAATTTAAATTGTTTTAATCTCACTCTATTTGACCTCTGAGAGGTTTCAAAACACATTGTATGATGTTCTCTATCTGTCACAATACATATATAGTACTTGATTTTACATTTGGAAGCAATTCAAATTTTTTGAAAAATTTAAATCTTTTAAATCTCACTCTCTTTGACACTTGAGAGGTTTCAAAACACATCGTTTGATGTTCTCTATATCTCACAATACAAATGTAGTACTTGATTTTACATTTGGAAGCAATTAAAATTTTTTGAAAAATTTAAATCGTTTAAATCTAACTCTATTTAATCTCTGAGAGGTTTCAAAACACATTGAATGATGCTCTCTATCTGTTACAATACAAATATAGTACTTGATTTTACATTTGGAAGCAATTTAAATTTTTTGAAAAATTTAAATTGTTTATATCTCACTCTATTTGACCTCTGAGAGGTTTCAAAACACATTGTATGATGTTTTCTATCTGTCACAATACATATATAGTACTTGATTTTACATTTGGAAGCAATTTTAATTATTTGAAAAATTTAAATCGTTTAAATCTAACTCTATTTGACCTCTGAGAGGTTTCAAAACACATTGAATGATGTTCTCTATCTGTTACAATACAAATAAAGTACTTGATTTTACATTTGGAAGCAATTTAAATTTTTTGAAAAATTTAAATTGTTTATATCTCACTCTACTTGACCTCTAAGAGGTTTCAAAACACATTGTATGATGTTATTTATCTGTCACAATACATATATAGTACTTGGTTTTACATTTGGAAGCAATTTAAATTTTTTGAAAAATTTAAATTGTTTTAATCTCACTCTATTTGACCTCTGAGAGGTTTCAAAACACATTGTATGATGTTCTCTATCTGTCACAATACATATATAGTACTTGATTTTACATTTGGAAGCAATTCAAATTTTTTGAAAAATTTAAATCTTTTAAATCTCACTCTCTTTGACACTTGAGAGGTTTCAAAACACATCGTTTGATGTTCTCTATATCTCACAATACAAAAGTAGTACTTGATTTTACATTTGGAAGCAATTAAAATTTTTTGAAAAATTTAAATCGTTTAAATCTAACTCTATTTGATCTCTGAGAGGTTTCAAAACACATTGAATGATGCTCTCTATCTGTTACAATACAAATATAGTACTTGATTTTACATTTGGAAGCAATTTAAATTTTTTGAAAAATTTAAATCTTTTAAATCTCACTCTCTTTGACACTTGAGAGGTTTCAAAACACATCGTTTGATGTTCTCTATATCTCACAATACATATATAGTACTTGATTTTACATTTGGAAGCCATTTAAATTTTTTGAAAAATTTAAATCGTTTAAATTTCACTCTATTTGACCCTTGAGAGGTTTCAAAACATATTGTATGATGTTATTTATCTGTCACAATACAAATATAGTGCTTGATTTTACATTTGGAAGCAATTCAAATTTTTTGAAAAATTTAAATCGTTTAAATCTCACTTTATTTAAAATTTGAGCGATTTAAAAACACATTGTTTGATGATTTCTATCTGTCACAATACAAATATAGCCCTCGATTTTTAAAAAATTTAAATTGTTTAAGTGATAATTTATTTGACCTTTGAGAGATTTTGAAACATATTGTTTTATGTTCTCCATCTGTCCAGATACAGATTTACACATTACGAAAGCAAAATCGTTTACCTAAAAAATATTATTTCTGAATGAAAATCCCAATCAAAATCTTATCTCATTTCATCGAGAATTGGACGGAAGACCCACTCGTTGCTCGCAACGAGATCGTATCTAGTGTTTATTATTATTTTATTTCTGGAGATGATTTGATACCACAAGACTTATCGAAAATCTTTATAGTTCATGATACTGGATATTAAAAGTTATTCCGAAAAATGACTCCCCATATTCGATCTTTGACCCCTTTCGAAGTTATTGCCCCTTACGCAAGAAATGCTTGTTATCTCTACTCCTCTAAACCGTACACCGTAGAGGTATGAAAACTTCACCAACGTCTACGACTACTTGAGAGGACCTTTCAGTCTATTCATTGCGAGAGGATTCCTAAACCTCTTCAATGAGTTATTGCCCCTGAAACTTTTTGAATTTTACAAATACCTAAAAATTTTCAAAACGAGAAGTCGTAGAGAGATGGGACTAACTGCATAAGATTAAATGACCTTCGACCTTAAAATTCATGCAAAGGTCCATGGTCAAGGTCATTCAAAAATGAGAAATTAAGCTCTTTTTATATCTCTTTTGTCTTTCAACATATACTTAATGTCTTTGCATCATTTAGATGTACTCTTCAAACTATTTCAAATATTTAATTCTTGTCCCCTAAAATTAATCCTTTTAAAAGTTATTGCCCCTTGTGCAAAAAACCTTGTTTTCGCTACTCCTCCGAAACCGTAGACCGTCGAGACACAAAACCTTCACTAATATCTTAAGGGTCTTTAGGCATAACTATACTGTATAAGTGCGAAAGGATCTGATGACCCCTTATATGAGTTATTGCCCTTAAACGTCTTTGTACTTAGTCTTACTATTAAACCTTATAACTTGAAAACTATAAGTCGTAGAAGCATGGAGTCAATTGCATTATGACCCTTGACGTTTGACCTTGAATATTTTTTTAAGGTCAAGGGTCAAGGTCATTTCATTATTTTTTAAATTTTCATTTTTTCTATCCTTTAAGACAATTTTGGTTTCATATTCATTTAATTTAATTTTAAGGAGTCGGATATAAAACAAATTGAAATTCAAAGAAAGTGGAAAGACCTCTTATTGTTCTGTGAACAATAAGTCTCCTAGTTAAACATGCAGTTAATGAATGGATATTTAGGAAATAACAATGTTGTAGGAGCAAACTATTTCACTGCATCGGGAAATGGTGTCCTTCCATCGGGGACCATTAAATTGTTATTTCCCTCAAAACAATTTTAAAACTATAAAATATTCATTTCAACAGTAAAGCGTGAAAAACAATTCCCCCATTTTAGTAATATAGTATTTACAGTGATTAGGCATTTTTGAAAAAAAAAGCAAATATGTTGCAAATTCTTAGGGATATCATTTCAAATTTTCAGGATATATTTTCTCGTATTTTTCTGCACTAAACCCGCGACCTACCTTAAGTTAACGTAGAAAAAACTAGCGGCTCGCCAAATCCTTTCTTCCTTGAATAACTGGGACGGAGAGCTCCTTCAGCTCTAGGATGATAATTTTCCCGAGCCTTTTATCCAATTTGTGCTTGTCATGCCGACCTTGCACTTTGGTTCAAAGAGACTCGTTTTGTCGTAATTGGAAGTTTACCAATTAAAATGGAATAGAATAAGTAAGACATACATTTTACACTAACCGCAGGAATTACATAAGATTCCTTCATCATATATAATATCTCTGTAAAATGGATTCAATGTACAGAGTGCAGTGATAGAAATGGCACAATAATTGTTAGAAATTTCGCCAACGTGTTTGAATCGTAATGAAAAGAGTGGATATAAAAAACAGTAATCAATCCATATAAACATCTAAAAACAATGAACTGTGAACACGCGGGTATTTTAATTTCCTTAAAAGACAAAGATGAAATTTTAAAGTTTATAGAAAACAGTTAAAGTTCATGCATATTATCCATTTTAAGATAAGCGGCACGAAATCCATGTTGACCTTGATTACAATAGGCAGACTTCTTTAGAAATGCAAGATGTAAGGGACTTTTTGACATCATAGGTACATGCCCAGGTAGCACAAAACGTTTTCATAACATTATATTCCGGTTGTAAGGATGTTATTCCAAAACGTTTTTGACATAACGTTTGAAAAATGTTTTTATAACGTTTTATCTAGGTTATAATGACGTTTTTAGAAAACGTTTCTCAGAAACGTTTTAAAAATGTTTTTCATAACGTTTAATACTGGTTGGAAGGAAGTTTTTAGAAAACATTTTTGCATAACATTTTTATAATTATAATAAGAATTTTTTTTATTGCTTAAAAAGCACTATAAAAAATGTTTTCATATTCCATTGTTTGAGAAAAACTATCCTAAAAACTCATATGATATTAAGAATATACACAGTGTGTTGTGTACGTTGACTCAAATTTTAAGAATATTTATTTTTTTAAATTGAATGAAATTTATTATAAATTCCGATTACAAATGATATTAGAAAACATGAATATAACATTGTCTTAAAATGTTTGGAAAACGTTGTTAAAACGTTATAGAAACAACAAATATCTCTATATATTTCAATTCTTAAAAAATATACATTTAGTATTTACTTTTTTGTTTGTGTGTTATTAATACTAGGTGATATCTTTTAAAGCATATAAGGAAAAAAAAATTAAACAGAAATGTTTTTAATTCAGTTCTTTTTTAATTGTTTTATATGCCACATTGATTTCCTAAAAAAAAAATAATGATTGTGAAAAATGTATAAAAAGCCATTTTAAAGTATTTTTTCTAAGATGTGATGTAGTTCAACAAAGTAATGCAGTGCATTTATTCACTTGTGTTGTTTCCTCCTGGATAACGCGTTTATCAAAAGTTAATTGATTGACACAGCGGGATGCCGTGGTCAGCGCTGATGAAACCGCTCCTTGCTGCAAACTATTTCCACGTGATCTATATAGGTCAACTTATCAAGATTTTGAAAAACCGGGCAGCATTCTTGAGAGACAAAGAACAGGATTTAGGGAATATTTTACATCACCGTATGGTATGTTGAATTTAAAGTTGTATTCATCGTGTATACATGTATTAAGAAATAGTATTATATAGCTGCATGTGTTTGTATAATTAAGCCTGAATCATTCCTTGTAAACAATGGTAAATGATTGTATATATCTTGGATATTTGAGGGCGGTTAATTGGTTGTTTTTTAAGTAAATTGATCATTGAAGTTTATCATGATTGTGCATTTATTTTACATGTTTATTATGTCTTGTGTCTCGTGTGAATTTTCTTTATTAATGTGTACTTTAGTATAATCACCCCAGGCTTAGAGATAGATTTTCATATTGAAAGCTTCAAAACATGATTTAAATAGATCGAGTAGGTTGTGTTTGTGTGTGTGTGTGGAGGGGGGGGGGGGGGGGGCTTAACGAGTTGGTTTAAATACTTCTTTGGAAATGTAAAATGATTTGTATTTGTATACAGTGTCATGTATATATTTTTCAATTTACAATTCTCAGAATGAATATTATTTTTCATTTTACAGCGGCTGTTTGCAAAGACTAAATATTACATGTTATGAGAGGCATTGGACAGAATGAAGTTTGCTACACACCATCTTGGAGGGATTTACCGGGGTATTAATTTTAAAGGTATGTTTGAAATTTCCTGACACGAATGCATAACGGAGATAGATTTATCGTGTTTATTTAGTATATATTTTATAGAACTGTTGCCAAAAACATACACACTTTTCTTGTATTTATCGGATTTATGACTATGTATAGTTTTTAAATCTTCTAAAATTATTCTCTGTATCTTTGTTTTCAGAAGAAAACAAAGAAGTCCAAGTGCCAAACAGATGATTTCCAAAGGAAGAAGGATATTATGATTTTTTTTCTTATTTCAATTGTGACAAATCTTCCCTGTTAAGAAGACTGTTATTGACTGTGTGGATGTAAAAAAGAGTTCATGGATTATATTTGTGAAAGAGTTTAAACCAATTAAAACCATAGGAAGTACAATACTTTTTTTGTTGTAAATTTTTTTTTCAATCCTTTAAGACATGTTAGAAATGTTCTGAAAACGATTTTAAAAATGTTTTGAAAACGTTTTCAAAAATGTTTTCCAAACATTGCAGGACAATGTTTTTGAAAAACGTTATGATAACGTTTAAAAAACCATACAAAATAACGTTGTAATAACGTTTTAGAAAATGTTTTTATAACATTTTGAAAACGTTTTGATAACGTTTTAATAACGTTGTTCTGCTACCTGGGTGTATATAAAAAAAAAGGTTTCTCCGGGTAAATAACCCCTGTAATATTAGAACCACTTCCCTTTCTCAGGTATCGTAGATTGAATTAATTATCTAACAAGATGGGGGAACAAGGCGTGCAGAATGCCAATAGCTTCAGATATTAAGAAATCATATTCAGTTTTTGAATTTAGTATTTAAATTTAATTCTCATTATTGAAATTTTGAGAAACAAACCTTTTGAGAGAAAAATAAAATCTCGGAAATGAATTTCTTTTTTTTAAAAATATAAGATGGTATTCGAAGGATTCGACCTCTATCTGTAAAATCTGGAGTATCATATTGCTTTGAAACTAATGCGCTGACCAGTACGCTACATGGATCATGATGAATCGGGGCATTTAAATGATGTTTGTGATATGACTCTCGACTTAATGGATTTGAAGTATTTCTCGGAAAGATGCGAATATTGTGTTACAAAAGTGTACTTTAAGGTATAGTGGGTCATGGCTCTATTGTTTACCAAAAAATGTATATTTTATTGCAAACTTTTAGGATTATCGTTCCAAAATATGGAGCAAAGACCCGCTCATATTGAAAAATTTTGTTAAGTATGAGAAAATGGTCTTTTTTGTTCTTTTAAGAGTTTGTATGCTTTTTCATAGGCAATTAATTTTAGATTTTATATAAAGGATACTTTAATGTTAGATGATATATCAAGGAATATTTGGATATAATTGAGATTAAAATTTTTCACCTCATGTTAGTCGCACTACAGTCACTAAGTCCGCCTTAACCCCCCCCCCCCCCTCTTATAGAATAATAGACCATTGATTTATATACACCTTACTATAATGAGTTGATTTTTTTTGGTAAAATAATGTAGTTTTGGAATTTTAGAATATAGACCCCTTATAATAATAAGTTTATTTAAATAATTTGGTTCAGCAAAAGGTAAAATACTGGCCTAATACAGCTGTAATCATAATAATTTAATTTGTATCTTGTACTTTTAGTCTCTTGCATGTACTACATGTATTAGTTATGTTGTAACTTCTAGTACTTTAGACTTTTTTGCAATTTACATGTTGTAAGAAAAATCCTTAATTAGGTGTGTTCCCCTTTTGCCATATTTGAATTTCAGGTATAGAAAAAAAAAGTGTGCAAAACGGGAATTTGACCAGGTGAGATAATTACTTAATTGGTATAGTCTGTATACTATAGTTGGTAGATAGGGGAGAGGTGAACATATAGAGGGTGAGAATTGGACAATAAAATTAGAAATTAAACCAACAAAAATTATGTGCATTACAAGTTTTCATTTCAATTTTCCTTTTATAACAAAATAGAAATTTATAATAAATAATTAATCACGAATGGTACTCGGTAATATGTCAATTTCTGATTTACAGCATTTAAAAAAAATTCAAGAAATGGCATTCATTTTTTTGAAAATATGATAAACAATATTTCACACCTATTGTTCTATACCTTATTATCAAATGTGTGCAAAACGGAAGCACACCTTTTATTATAGTTTTCCAATTTCTCACGTCTAAATCACACTTCGTTTTAGAAAAGTCGTTGGCCTAATCAGCCGAGTAATTAATCTTCTGAAGGTGTAAATGAAAAAGATGACAAAACTGAAATAATTTAATTACCTCAAGGTGATTAAACCTGGCGAATCACTGGTGTAAATATAAATATTCTATATCGAACATCGAAAGAATGTTTTATTCATCCGAATAAATTAAATATTTTTAATTCATTTGAAAAAAAAATATTTTCAATAAAAAATAGATTTTATTCGAGTGTGATCTAAATTCCGCTAGTTTCTTAACCTTTTTTATCCCTCAAATACACGTATTTATCGTTGCGAATGTTTTGTTATATTTTTTTGGAGAATGTTTCATAAGTCGCCAAACATTAATGGGCGCAGATTGATTTAAATTTCATCGCATCGCATAAGGATGACGCGAATAATGCTTCGTAGCAGGATGTTAACCTTTTTTTCTTGACAAACTGCTCTATTATTTTGAATCTTCTAAATGTTTATCCATTTAAGAACGATTTCTCTTCCAAGCAAACATTTCATTCTTTGCGCTATAAAGTAATTTATGTTTCATTTTATTACACAGATCAATTTTGATGATCTGTGGGATTTTTGAAGTTCGAGAAGGAAAACCTTAGAGGTAAAATAGTCTCTGAAAGTTTGAATTGTTAATGTACTAGTCAAATTAAAGACTGGCATTTGAATTTAGTATAATAAATACTTAAATTTCATTACGAGGTATTTTATTACATAATTATCGCCGCAAATCATTTGTTTTGCTGTATTTTTGGACAATGTTTTATAAGTCGCAAAAGATTAATGGACGCGGATTTATTTTAAATTGCGAAAAATATTACGCAAATAATACTTGGTAATAGAATGCTAATTTTTCATGGCAAAGCTACTCCATTATTTTGAACCAAAACGTTTCCTTCGGAACAATTTCACTTTCAAACAGTTTACCGTAGCTATAAAGTATTTTGTTTAATTTTTATCAATAAATTTCATATTCGTTGTAACACTTTATTTGATTGGATATAAGATTAAGTTCATATTGTATAACATAAGTAAGTTGTCTACGTCACAATTAGTTACGCGAAAAACATATAACTCCGGTCCACTTCGTTACCTTTTTTCTTTAAATATGCTCAATTTGAAAGCATTTCTGAAGGAAAATTTTCGTATTGTCTACACTACATGAAAGAAAATCATATTATTAGGGATGGATTTTATAGCTACCCAGGTAATGAAATCAATGAACATTAAAATATTCAATTAAAAAGGCGGCAATTTGAAATTGAGATCCTAAACAGACTAAGCACATCCTAAACAAGCATTCGAAGATTATGACATCAGTCTTAACCGTCAAATGTAGTCTTTTTCCCAATTAAAATGCCATTATTCCTTCAACATCATTGAAGTGGAATAAAATGCAAAGATGATTTATAACTCATTCAGATTGACTCAAATACTAAAACATCAGCCATCTGCAAGGGTTAAGAAAAGCATTGCGGAAAGCCTCTAGTAGCTTACCATGTTACACTCGCATAAAATATAGATAAGCTAAATATCTGCAAGTGTTTATTAAAAATTGTATAAAACTACATATGTAAGTATAGCCGATTGACAAACAGACAGAGGGACAGACAGACGCGGACAAAACCTGCAGCTTAATACATCCAGCGTTTTCCTATTTAATAAGCAAATGAAGAAAGATAAGTAATTAAATTCCACTTTTACACAATATGTTTTATTTCGAAGACCGACTCGATCCATGAAAAAATACTGACACAGTATAATTAAATCTGATGCATTAAAATCTAAAAAATTACTTTGTGAGTTCGAATTCCACTGGGACATGGGGATCGTTTCTTCGAATGAGACCATATAAACTCGAAGTCCTGTATGCAGTACGTAGGTGCTGGCACGAAAAATATCTCTACCTGCTTAATGGCCGCATGTGCCGAGTATACGACAATATTTACAACTCTCCATCGGCAAGTGGTGACGTCTCCATATGAGTGAAAAAATTTCGAAATGGACATACAATAAATCAGATGCATTTCTTAACATGGGTTGTGTTATAAATAGGACCTCTCTACGTGGTAAATAATTTCACAACCTACTAACGTGCATTTTTTTTTTTTTTACGTTGAAACAAAATTCATGTCACCGTCTATTTAATCAATGATAAGATATTCATCAAACAAAAGGACAAAAATTCTTCAAGAGACCACATTAAACATCTACCCTTCTAATGTTCATAACGAAAAAATACTATTAAGTCGAGTGATTGAAGTTTAGTATCTTATTGAAGACAACTTTTTCAAACGGTTTTTATTTCATTGAAAATTTTTATGTCAATTGAAATTAAAACGATTAAAAATTGTATAGATATGAGAAATATTCTGAAGACCTACCGCAAACAATATTGATATCTTCGATCATAAGGAGAGGTATTCTATCTCGATCCCCAAAGACAAGAATGGAAAAAAAAAATATCTTGCACCATTTATAATCCATAACTAATTATAGTTCTGATTTTATATAACTTTAATCTCACTGCAGTATAATTTGTAATCAGTAAATATAAGAAAAAACATGGCCCTGATAAACTAAAGGTTCACCTTACTTACATGTTAATTAAGGATTTTCTGCCTGGTTGTGTATAATTCACGACACGACGCGTAAAATGTGAGACAAGAAATAATACAATAAGCTATAATTCCCCCCAGAAAAATTAATTGCAATCCGACATTTTATGGTCAGGATTCATGAATATGATTTTAATTAATTTTATACTATCAAAATTATATACATAATTCAAACGGACGGAAAAAATCCTCAAGCAATTAAAAGATCATCTTCGAAATCTAATAGGCACATTTGTCGAAAAAGTATATAACACGGTTTATACAAGATATGATCTGGAAATTAATACCCATCTTGTAAAACATGGAAAACATGATGTATTTTCCTCCTTCATTAAGATATAATCCTTTCAACAGTCGCAGATTAGGATGTTGGTCCATATGGTTCATTCTACCTATTCCCACATTCTGAAAATCAGGTAGGAAAAGGTAACATTTTATGTGGGAATAGGTGGAATTTTTAAGTAAACAAATAATTAACTATATAAACATATAACTGCTGTATAAACAGAACAAATGAAGGAAAAATGGCTTTTTAAAATTCTAAATCAGA